TGTTATACACATAAATTTACTCAAAATAAGAAAACCTACTATAAAAGGATTGTGGTCCTAAACCTCCGAATGTTTTTCTCTATCCACATCTCTTGAGTTATTTCCTAAAATAGTGAAGATAATCGGGTGAGTACAACTACTCAATAACCAAGATCTGACTAACTCATATTAATGCATATTAATTAGTTTAAACGCAAGTGGCAATTAATGTCAATACTCTAACCCATGTAAAACATTTGAAAATAGATATTCACAATTTCACTCACATAATAGCATATGCTTGAAAAACAATGCTTTTTAGCACTTTTCATATAAATAGAGTTGGTCACAATTCATTAACAAATACATTGGAGTAATTAAGATTCAACTCGTGATATCATCATTAGGAAATAATATAGACAACCAGGTACCCTTACTCATTATATGCATAATCACACTTCCCTTATATCTTTCTTATTCCTCTGACATGAAACCATGGACTATAACTCAATGAGATAGTCTATATTCTATAACTTTCCTAACCTAAACAATTGTAAGGGAATTACTCGGCTGAGGCGCACCCAACTCACTTATAGAACATGGTTTCCCTCATTTCTCACACACTATAGGGTGTCATACACCCTAGACTAGCCTCCTTATTGAACTGGTGGATAGTTAGCTAGGTTCAAAGCTCTCGTTAAATTAGTGGGATGATGTCTCATTGAACACGTGGAACAATATAAATATAATTAATTCGGCAAACCATCTCACGGGTGGGCCTTACTATGTGGATTTTATTATTCACTCCTCTTTCTAGGTGAACTCTCACCTCTCAAGATCATGCAATGCACATTCATGTCATAATTCACACATATAGAATTCATAAAACTTCACATTATTAATTTTTATTAAACTTTATCATTACACAAATCATTGGACTTCTTAAACACATTTTCATAAAACTTCAAATCAAATAAGTTATTGAACTCCAACTTCACAATTATTGTGTATTCACACTTTTAAAATCATTGAACTTTACTATTTCAAACATCATTAAACTTTTCATAAATAAAGATTCATATTACTTCTCAATTCGCAAAATCATTGAACTCCTAATAAACATAATACGAAAATCCATCAATATTATTCTCAAAGAAATTTTACATCACAAGGCATAAAACTCACAAATTTAATCTAGTGAATTTTCTAACAAATCAAGCCATACTTGCATTTTTTTTAATTTTGACATTTCAATGATAAATCATAAATCCATAAACTAATAGACACACAAAAATATAAGATAGAATTTTTCTAGTTACCTCAAACCTTTGAAAGGTCAAAAATTTCACCCTTCAGTTACTCACTTCTAAAGCTCCAAAAAGTTTGAGTGGTGCCAATGGTAGTTATTCTACAAACAATTACCATGCAAAATATCAATATTTATTTTTAAGCTATTTTCCACTAACACTTAATCATTTCTTAATGCTCAATATTTATTATTGACTCATGTAAAAGTACTCATAAGACTTCTTAACTTTCTTTAACTCTCATTAATAACATTGAGCTTGTAGATGGTCATTAACGAAACCACATTATTTCCAACCACCAAATTTATGAGAATTTCGGACATTTAATATCCTTCAACCATCAATCATTATAAAACCATAAATACCAAGTTTATTTAGCTTAATCTACTTTCATTAACTCTATTTAAGTTAATGGGATCAGACTAATAGCTTCTATGGACTGAAAATCACCATTATCAATCAAACCCTAACATCTACCATCAAGAAAATGGAAGAAGAAAGGAAAATTTAAGTAGAAAAGTTTACCTTTGATGTTTATGAGCTCCAAAATATTCTAAATACTCAGCTTTCCTAAGCCTTAGCACTGCTCTTTCATTTCTTCATTTCTTCATTTCTTTTCTTCTCTGATGTATCAAATTCGTGACTTATTTCAGCAGAAAAATGACCATATGCCTCGACAGATACACAATACGCTGCAGCGCATGGCACAGAGAGCCTTTTCCAAGCATGTTAACACACATGTGCCGTCGCAGCCCATTCATAAGTCACGGTGCGTGACACAAAATTACTTTCTTTATAAATTCTTCTTCTTCTATTCTTGGATGACCTGATTCTCCTTCGAATTTGCGTTTAGAAATGAAATCGAGACCAAACATGCCTATTAAGCCTCTCTGATCGCACACCTCACTAATATACTTAATTAGTCTATTTAAACTTAATTAACCTAATTTAAAAATTGAGAATGTTACAGTCAGGATGGCTCCTAACTCTAATGAGCATTCGGTGTCATCATTATGATGAGCATCAAATGCGAACACTATATGAAATATGTTAGATATGATTTATAAATCAAATAAAAAAATATGTTATAAAAATAAAAAAAATCAATTAAGGATAATTAGAGCAAATTTATATTAGTAAAGAATTACTTGTTATCAAAATCAAAATGAATACTCATTGGTTTAAATTAATCTTTTATCAATAAATATTTATTCAAATTTTAATAATAACTCATTTTAAATTAATAATATTTTATTTATTTTTTTATTTAAATTATGGGAGCAACTCTTCGTGATATAAATTTTATTTAGCAGTTCTTCGTTATTATTTTCCCAACAAAATAAGTGTAATAATTTTGAGAAAGTTTTAAAAATGTATATTTCCTCAGTCGAGCTAAAAAAGTAACTAAAAAAAAAAACAACTGAAATCGAGTAAGGTTAATAATTAACAAAATATCAATAATAACCAATAAATGTAAGCATCGTACGTACGGCTCGAAATCCATCAAAAAGGTCGAGGGGCCGACCGCCGTTGTCGGAACACGGCCGCCTCCAAATACTGCCACGGTGCCACCATAATAATAAATTAATAATCAAAGGGGCCTCGCACTTATTTAGCCACTTTTTCAAGTAAATTACATTTTCGTGGCAAATGAACACATTATCTATTAACTTTAATATCATAAATCTCCAACTTATTTACTGTATAAATAATTTTTTAATTTTTTAAAATAGTATAATTTGGTTTTAGTAGTTAACAAAGATTAATTTTAATTATTAATTAACTAAAAAAAATAAAAAAAATCAAAAAATATTATAATAAAAAATTTAAAAATTAATGATGAGGACAAACATTATAAAAATAATTTTTTATTCTTTTATATAATTTTTTAGATTATTTTTTAATTAATTAATTGTTAAAAATGATTGTTAAATATAAGGGTCAAATTGCATTATTTTATAACGTTGAGGAAGTAATTTACATAATAAAAAAAATTTAAAGTTTATAGTGTTATTGAATTTAAAGTTTAGAGGATAATTTATTTATTTATCTATTTCTTTTCAATTATTCTATATTCGTAATAAGAAAAAATAATTTGCAGTTCTTAAGGTTTTTTTAATTTTTAATTAGATTCTTGTGATTTATTTTGTTTTAGCGTAACTATTCTTGTGATATATTTGCTTTTTTAATGAATGATTATTAACTTTTCTAAAACGATGCACTTTTACAGTTTATAAAAAATTTGATTTAATATTTTGGCCAAACAAAGAAAAATTGATTTAATATAATTTTTATTTTTTATGAAATATATAAAAATTATTTAAAAAATAAAATTTAATTATATAAATTTTGAGTTAGGAAATCTATGTAATTAATTCTAATATTTAATCTTTGAATAAAAATATAAAAGGAAATTTTATTTTTTTAAAAAATAAACAATTTTAACTTTCAAGAATTAATAAATAAAGGAACCAAACCTATAAAGGTTAGATTAAAATAAAGTAAACTATGAAAATCTAACTTAAAATTGAAAGAAAACTACAAGGATTCCCAAATTCATGATTGGTTAGAAAATTTTATTTAATCATGAAAAGCCTCATAATTACCCTTATAAAATCAATACTATATTTAATTGATGACATTATATAAAAATCTAATAAAATATACTAATAATAGCGAATATTTAATTGGGATTCAAGCAATTTTTTTTTAATCCCTTCTAGCTGTTTTACACATTTTAGTGTAGCTTAAATATTCCAAACAAAATTAAACATAATTTTCAATAGTTTTTATATTATTAAGAATAATTAAACACATACTTTCAAGCCTATCTTCTTTCCATTCTCATCTCCATTTCATTTAATATATTTCCATGAAACCAAAGGTAACCTTAGTAATATGTATATATATATATATATATATTCTTTTGTCATATTTTAAAAATAGTGTTCCTCGTTAAAACTGACCTTATACAGTGCCAATCTGTTTTTTTCCCCTTCTATCACAACTAACTTAAACACAGTGCAATGAAAATTGCATACGAAACACATTTTAAAGTATTCAAGTTTTATTTATTAAAAATATTTTCTGAGTTATAAAATAAAAATTAAATATTTTAATTTTGAATTTATTTTTATTAATTATTAACTTTTCTAGAATTATCAACAGGTTGGTATTGTTGAATAAAAGGAAATAAACGAATAACATGATATGATATTCATTATGTACTGCGTTTCATTGGGTACACTAGTAAATGGAAAGGAGTATGAGAGAAAAAATTATGAAAACAGCATATTTGTATTATTTTACAGTGATTTCAACAACAATTTTTTATTATCTTAAAAAGGACTGAATTTTATATAACAAACCCGATTTTTGTACTTTTTAGTTTTTACAGCCAAAATTTTATACTACTTGATTTTGTAAAATCTATTTTAATTTTGTCATGTGGAAAGGAAAAAGAATAAATGAAAATTGAGGGGAAAAAAAAAGAAGAAGAGGCAATATGTCACGAAAAGCAGCGGGTTTTCCGGTGGAAAGGACGAGGACGCAGAAAGCTGTTCCTTTGACACGTAAGATTGTTACTGGCCGCAAGATGAGAGAAGTGAGATGCGATGAACGGTCTAGAATCTACTGCTATTGGGACGGAAGTTTTTGTCATGGAGTTAACAAGAAACAAGGTAGAGACTAGAGAGTGAGGGAGGGCTACAGACCCAAAGGAAAGCTGCTCAGAACTACACACAAAAAAAAAAACAACGAAAAAGAAAAGGAAAAAGCTCAGAAACTTCGTGTGGTTGAGGAAGTAGAAAGAGAAAGAGACAGAGGATGGGAAGGAGGGTTTTTTGAGACTTAAATTAAATTGAAGGAGGTGCAGCAGCAGCAGGTAGCAGCAGAGCTTGCAGAGAGGAACAGAATGGGCATGGCGGCGTTGCAGTTGCAGTTACAGTTGTTTCCCTCTTTGTAATTTTCTCCTCTTTCTCCTTTTCATTCCTTCTTTCACACTCCCTCCTCCGCCATCCACACCAACAAATTCAATGACCCGATTAACGCTTCCCAACACCCTCCCCATCAATTCTATTCTTATTCCTTGAGCGAGCGAGCGAGCGAGCGAGAGAGAGAGAGAGAGAGAGAGAGAGAGACCGAGCAAGGACGGTGCAACCAAAAAAAGTAGTATCCAAGAATTTCAAAAAACATTTACAATAGCTTGTCCTTTTCTCTCACCCCAAACCCTCGCATTCAAAGCTCGGGACTAAATTCGATCCGACCGATTGTTTTCGATTTGGGCTTTTTTTTTTCCTCCTGTATATTCATTTCACTTATCTAACCCCAGCGATCGAGCTGTCTGATATGGATTATCACTCACAATTGAGTGGTGGGTCAGGCTTAGAGGTGGTGAATCAATGGCGGGTTTATTCTCACTAGGCTGCGGAGGTGGAGGAAGCGACCGGCAGCAAGAAGAGCAAGAGCATCCCAACCCAACCACGGAATTCCTTCCGCCCGAGACCCTATACTGGTACAAGAACGAAGATGTGTCGTCGTACAGAGGATTTGAGCTGTGGAACCAGCAGCCGGAGCAGTTCATGCCTGGAACACGACCGTCGGAACAAGATGTGTACGGGGGGAGTAGGAGCTACGATGATCCGTCGTCGTCGTCGTCGATGAGAGGTCGGGGAGGAATAAACTGCCAAGACTGCGGGAACAAAGCCAAGAAGGATTGCCCGCACATGAGGTGCAGGACTTGCTGTAAAAGCAGAGGCTTCCATTGCCAAACCCACATCAAAAGCACCTGGGTCCCTGCTCCCAAGCGTCGCGAGCGACAACACCACCTTTCAGCTCTGCAGCAACACCAACGACATGGCCAAACAGGTACTTGCCCTTGTTCCTTTTGTCTTCTCCGTTCCTTCCCCAGCATTACTATGCGTCCCAGTTTCTGTGCTGCGATTGACTTCGGATGAAAAAGCTTTGGATGTATTATTTGTTTATTCTCTCCTACCATATCAATCGCGTGTGAAACCAAATCTCAGCCCGCCCTTTCCATCCTTTTCTTTTTCCTTTTTTCCTCAACACTGTTATTTAGTAAGCCTGACGAGTTGATTGACAGGGAACAAACTGTTTCTCCTCTTTCTTCGCTCATTCTCTCTCACTCGCACTCTCTCATTCCCTTTGAAATCTGTGTAGCTATTTTTTTTTCCGTTTGTTGTCATATAAATAATCTGCATATTCTGCTAGCTAATCAATGGTTTTTTTTTTTTTTAACTTTCGGTGGTTTTCTGTGTCATGAAATCAAAAGATGTGCTAGAGCACCAGGATTTTCCTACAGTAGTAAGCTCGCCTGCGGATTTCCGATGCGTGCGGGTGAACTCCATTGACGACGATGACGAACAATATGCGTACCAAACAGCTGTGAATATAGGAGGGCGTGTGTTCAAAGGAATTCTGTACGACCAAGGTCCTGAATGTAATTACAATGCTGGAGATATGAGCGCCTCAGCCGGCGTAGGCGGCGTTCAACCTTTGAACCTCATTGCCGGTGCCGCCAGCGGCGCGTCTGTTTTACCCGCGACGACAATAAGTGGTGGTGCCATGGTTTCGTCTGGTGGGGCACTTGGGGATCCTTCTTTATATCCAGCTCAACTGAACACCTTCATAGCTGGAGGTAGTGGTACGCAATTCTTCCCTCCCTCGAGGTCTTCATAAATAAGAACAAGCAAAAGGTTGATAGTGTATTCCAGTTTCTCCTCTCTCTCTGTTTGATATTACTGTTGTAGTAAAATTTGACATCCGTGTAAGCAGCAGGAGAGATAAAAAGGAAAAGGAAGAATCAGGTGAAAACTAAGCAGAGAAAATATTGTAGACCCATTTTTTTGGACGCGAATTTCAATTTCAATGCTTAGTTCAGTTATAAAATCCATCTACTTGTAATGTGTGGTGAGTGTTATAAGTGCGTCATTCATCTTTTATTTGCTTCACAATTTGTCCACTGGAAGCTGCATTTCCCAGTTATCCGTATTTGAACGAAACCCAAAGAGAACTTTTCTCTTTTCACACTTGGCTGTGGCCTCTCCGCGTTGTAGGAGCAGCATTCAAGGTTAAAAGGGTGAAAGATCTCTCCCCTAATTCCCATGTGATGCGCTGTGGTTCCATTATTATTCAATAAAACTTTGCATATATAGATGTGACGTTCATTAAGAAGCGGGAAAGATTGCTTATCGATATGCTCGATGCTAGCTAGCTAGCTCATATTTGATTCACATGCAGCGAAGGATGCGTATATAGGGGAACACTGCATTATATCTAATTAAAGTGTACAGCATATATATGGTAAAGATGTGTGTGTGTGTGTGTGTGTGTGTGTGTGTCTTGTGAGATTTTCTTGAACCAAGTCCAAGAAAACTCCAGGCCAGAAAGATGAGTCCAACAGAAGTGGAAAGGAAAGGCTCTTTTTGTAAGATATATCAGAAATTTCACAAGTTGGTGCAGCATGCATTCTCATAGCCCATTACTTTATTCTCTGCGGGCAGTAATTTTTATGATATTATATGCGTGCGAAAATATATTACTTGGCTTGGCACTCTTTTTTTTAACTTTTATAGACGTACAGAATCTGCTGGTAACTTGCTAGCATAAAACTCAAAACTATAATGTTGTGAACCACAAGATATTGTGTCTATGCACGCTCAATATTATTATTTTTTCGCTTAAATCAATAATCATAGATTCTAAAAACCACTTTAGACGTGAAAATGACAAAATGTAATAATATTGTATGGGTTTGTTTGTGTGTGTGTGTGTATGAATGAGAGCATTTCTTTGAACATTATTACAATTGATGTTAAAGTCTAAAGAGATGCACCTTGAATGGGGAGAGCCAGTATGGTATGATATTTGCATTTACAGATTATTATGGATATGGATGGATAGCATAAATTTATGACAGGAAAATGTTGACGCACGTTTCAAGATGACACTGGATTCTTGTTGATTTAGGGTATGCGTGTTTCCACTTTTCAAGTCAATATGGTGAGGTTAGCTTGATAGTTTAAGATACATCATTTGTGGGTTTCATTCCATAGCCACAAGAGAAGTAAGAAGACGAAGCTTAAAAACGGAAGAGAAATTGAAGTCAGGCATGCATGCATGCATGCATGTGTTCACATATAGAGCTTGACAGACTGTTAAGAGTACAATATATACGCCATATTTACTGCTGTCTATAGATAATTTCCTAGCAATTGACGGGTGATTCACATTTAAAGGGCATAGGATTTCTGAAGTTCATGAGGTATTTGTGTGTTATGTGGTGGTGTCCGCGAATTGAGCGCCTGAGCGGCGTGCATGCATGGCAATAATTTGGGAACTTTTCGTTGTAAATGTAAATGCTTGCCGCAATGTTTGTAAAATGTGTAATTATGCAGATGTAATCAAGAAAGAACTCGGCTTGTGGGCGCATATACATGGAGTATATAAATTGCTCTGATTTCTTTAATTGCAACTATTGATTTATCAGGTGCTGCAGAAGACAGTTTATGATCTCTCAATACATATAAACAAAGTAGCTCAATCACTGCTTATATACCAGTGGCAATTTTCCACTTAATTTATAATTGCGTGACTACGAAATTATTGGTAGTTCATCATGTAGCTTGCTTGATTATGAGCTTCGGAAACAGTGCTGCTGCTGCACACTGAATCTGTCGTTACTTTTGAATAGGTATCCGTCTCTCGACCGCCACGGTGTCTGTCGGAGCCCTTGACATTGCCTCCGTGTGACCATACAATTTCTAACAGAAAATGACACTCAGGGACGTCTATAATTATATATTTATAATTATACCTCAAATTTGTGATATTTGACAAAATATGTTGTAATATAATTTTAGAAGGAATTAATGAATTATAGAAAACTTGGATGAAAAGCTTCGGTACGTGATTACTATAATATTATATCAATCATATATTGATGATCGTATTCCCAATTTGTACGTAAACCAGCTGATTGCCAGAAAGTGGCCGTGCACAGCGCTTTATTCAATTCTAACTCAGCGTAAACAGAACTTCGTTGTCTGAGCCTGCAGGTTGCTAAAGTAGCATGCCAAGTTCGCGCGAATAAACAACATAATTATACTGGTATTCACAAAACTAACAAGTAATGAAACTTCATCTATCTGATCATTTGCTTGCTTCTAGGATTTAATCATGCGTTACTTTCTTGGATTTCTTTTTGAAAACCCCTATCATGTCTTTACTCCGAATATTTACTTTTACTTTTAAAATCAAGCAAGCTTGAGATAAAAACAATACAAGCCTAGCTTTGTGTATTATCTTGTGTTTTTTTTTTTTGGGATAAAAAGCTTTGTGTATTATAGATACTGAAACAAGTATTTCAGGATTTGCTATCTCCCTCTCATATTATCCCAAGGGTTAAATTATTGAGACTATTTTATCTGATAATGATTTTCTAATGCAAATATGGACAATTATGGATTGAGCTGGAAAATGGGGTAAGCTCGTCTAATGGGTTTATCCTATGCGATTTTGAGCCAACAGGTCTTATTCCTCAATCAAATTGTCATTCTCAAAACCCAGCCTTGGGTTAGGGTTGAGTCCAAAAGCCTTCATTTAATTATTCTTCAATTTTCAAAAATACATAATTAGTAAATATGATGAACAAAGATTCGAAGCACATTGTAACTTGTAGGTGCATAAATTTAATGTAGTATAGTGAATCAAGATCGTCTCACAAGGAATTAAATAAAAAGGAATTGGACACAAACTAAATTGTTTTTGTCTCAGTTAATTAATAAGAGAGTAAAATTTTTATTAAATTTCAAATAAATATGATTACAATAAAATAAGGTCAAATCATATATCTAAGGTAAGATTAGCAATCAAAGAGTGCCATAGAAATGTTAATCTCCTTTATTACTTTGCAATTCAATTTCTTCTAGTTATTGAGTTTAATTTAACTCTAGAATCAAGGCTCTACTTTAGATTTAATTGTTTGTCGATTACAAAAAACCATAGTCTAACTAGGCTATGATGTCTCAAGTAAATCCTAATACAATTATGCACAAATTTTGAAAGATTATCTAGAGCTTTTGAGTATTTGTATATATCAAGCATAAATTAGATTAATTCCAATCTTAGGTTGCTTAATAAACATTTTAATTGAAATTTTCTTTTGTCAGAGCGAATTCCAATACCCAAACTCATACTAAAGTTGGTCATCCAATAGCATGAGATCAAAATTAATCATATTAAGCATTAAAGTATCCATTAAAATCAATAACTATAAAAAAATTTACCTACAAAGCATAAAGGTTCATAGAATCCTTAAAAATAAAAGAAAATTGTCCACTCATGGCCCTAAATATGCATAAAAGTTCATAAACAATACAAAAAATTCATACTCCCCTTGCATTCTCCTAATTGTGCTCAAACAAAACATCAGTCATAATGCTACTCAAACAAGTTTATTTTCACCAATATCATTTAAATCATTATTTTCAAGCCACAATTTCATCATTCACTCATCAAATAAAACCATTATTGCCACTCTTGCATCGAAAACAAGTTCATAGGCACAATATATGTTTCAGAACCATTTATAGACATGTATAATTAATTAAACAAGCAAATGTATAAACTAAATTTTTCCTGAATATCTCAAACCTTTGAGAGGTTAAAGGTTTACCCCTCAATACCAAATACTTCCAAAGCTTTCAAAACTTAAATGGTGCTGGTAGGTGATTAATTTACAATTAATCATATCCACAATCATTAACATGCCCATTAATACAAGGTTAACTCCCTATCTCAACACTTTTACTATTTGAAATCCCCAATCTCTAGCATTTAGTATACCCATTGGATTTATTAATTTTTTCTAGCTCACATTAGCTTTATTAAACTCTTGAACCATCATTATTGACATTTATCAATAGCCAATCACCTCATTTATTACAAAATTCAACCATTAATACCACCCATCAACCAAAAAGGAACAAAACCACCAACCCTTAGTGTAGATAATTCAAACAACTCTCATTAACTCTATTTAAATTAATGAGTTCAACTCCATAGGCCTATAAGTGTGAAAATCCACTTTCCTCTACAAACCCTAACTTAAAACTTTGAGAAAATGGAAGAGGAAGGAAGAAGGGGGCTCAGGAAACTTACCTTAGAGCACAACAAACTTCAAAATGTTCCCAAAACCTTCAGGAATACAAGCCCTAATAGACCCAGGTGCATGCTCCTCATCCTCCTCCCTCAAAAATCAAATTTCCCTTCTATTTTTATGAGTCAGACTTGTATTTATTATTTGAAAATTTGGTCTTGTATTGCGACGTGCGCTATAGCATGTGCTGCAAAGAGCATCCCTTTATGATTGTGACCCAATTATTATGGAGGACCTCTGACAAGCTCTGGTGTATGACATAACAATGCCTTTCCCAAGTTTTTACTCTCTTCCAAGGCCCAACTTTACATCGAATCCAAGCCTCAAGCTGTAACTATAATCTAATAGGCTTATTAGCCCTCTCTAACCATCCCTTAACCATAAACCATTAATAATTTACTTAATTTCCCTCATTTAGCTTAATTAATTGAGGGTTAAATTTTTAAGATGTTACATATGACACCTTATAATTTAGCAGAGGAGAATTCATGGTCCAAGAGTGAGTGTTATAACATCTTAAAAATTTTAATTAGAAGTATTAGACAAAGAAAGAAATTAGCTAGGAGTAGTTTGGAGCAAGAATCAAGGCTTAAGAGTGAATTAGAGGGAGAAGTAAGGTTCATGTTGTTGGATAGGAAGGCATAGTGAAAGATTAAAATTTAAAATCCCTGTCCTTATGTAGACCGAACGAACTCATTTAAGTTAAGATAGATAGAAGAGTTACCTTTTTAAGTTTTGTATTCTTACTCGTTCTTTTCAAGAGT